AATGCATTTATGCAAAAACTCTTAAAAACAAGTGTTTAAGATATATGTAAGTCAAAACTCTTAAATACAAGTTGTTATGCACGAGATACAACCATGGTATGCTTGATGAAGTTAAGAGCTGGTCACTGCCAGCTGTGAATCACACGGATTGCCATGTGTGTTTGACACAGATTACCCTTTAAACCGTTCATCTCATGTTAAATCCAACGGCTCACCATGATTTTCTACGAAGACCTGAAAAAGCACTTTCGCGTTATCTCCCTCCTCATTCAAAATTTGAATTCATCGGTCTCTCTAAAAATCCTAATGTTGGTCACATCCCTTCTACAACCCGACGGTTTCCTCCACTTGCAGCAGTTACTCACACCATCAAGATCACCACGATCACCGTCGTGGAGCACGCTCCGACCACCAAGAACCAGCGGCACTGTGAACGACCCTCTAAGTAAACCCTAATCTAACCAGCCACCGCCGTTTTTTGCCGCTTTGTGACTTTTGGTGCCATTTGGTGCTGTGTGTGAACAGGTAGGTAACATCTTCGACATCTATAAACAGCCACCAACAAGTTTTCTGTATACACTTTCTTTCTATCTCTTTGTGTGAATGTAGATCTGAACAATACATGTTTTTCTGTTGTGTTAATTTAGTTTTCATAATAGTGTCATTTATGTGCTTTTGATATAATTTTGGATCTAAATATGCAGAAAAAATGAAATCAATGGGAAAGACAGACGAGTTTAGGCGAAAACGAAACCAATACGGTGTTGGTATAATTTTGAATATGCGATTTCGGTTTTATTTATAACGAATGCATGATTGAACACAAAAAACTACAGGTGACTTGAAGAGAATACGTGTCTGACTTTCGAATATGGGTATGGTTTTGCTTTATGTTTGTGTATGGATTTTTAGCTTGAAGATCAGATATGTGTTTGGGAGTTGAAGGTAAGATCTGAGGGTTTTTTTTTTTATTTTTTTTTATTTTTAATTATTTATTTATTTTTTTATTGTGGAATCTTAGGGTCAGATTTATACATTTCTACACATACCAAATCTATAAAAATTCGATTAAATCTTTTAGTTTTCTTCCAATAATCCCGTTTCTGACTCCGATATTCATATTATGCCGCTGCTCTTCATCTTAGTATTTTCTCTAATATCCACCGCCAATTTCTCTGGTCTGTTTCTTATTATGTTTCTTTTTATTTCAGTGAAAAACCCAACGTAACGATCTTCATAGAGAAAAACGTTAAAAAGTCAGTCCCAACATCATCCAAGGTAAAAAGCATAAAGAATCCATCTAAATCTGCTTAAAAATTGGGGTTTATTTTTTGTGAGTATCTCATCAATTTTTTCCATATACTGTTTACTTGTAGTTTCAAAAGTCAGAAATTATGTTGAATTGAATTTAGATTCTAAGATTTCTCCAACTTCTGCATACAGAATTTCAATCGATAGATCTTGATTGGTAAACCTATTTCTATTCGCTATGGAAACAACCTTTCTTCAACTTGGTTAATGTTCTTTGTTTTTGATTTGCATCTACTAAAGCACTCCATTTTTTTATTTTTTTATTTTTTTGACGTTATTTGTTGATGATTTTCTCTTTCCCCAGTTCGTGAAGTTGGCAATAGATTCCTGCAAAGGAATGGATTACTTGCACAACGGCAACATATTTCATAGGGATGTCAGGATTGCTAACTTGCTCGGACAGTTAAAATGTAAAAAATATAGAATACTTTTATTATCTGCAATGTATTTGCACTTTGACTTAGTTTCTTGATCTTTTTTGATTAAATATTGTTTTTGTAACATTTTATTTTTGGTTGTGAAGTAGATGGATTTTGAGGTTGCTCGGTTCTGACTTAAGGCAGAGTTATGTCAGCAGTGGCTACTGAGGTTTCTATTTGTTGCTCTCTAAATATTTGATCTTTGATTTAAGGATTGAGGATTTCATTGATTTCCTTTTTAACTGTAACAACGATAAACCCAAGTTAATTTTTTTTTTCTTATTTATATTTGTAAAGTTGTGAATCCCCTTAATTTACCATGATGAATAGAGCTACTATATAATCTTATGTATTGTCATGGTTTGTATGGATGTAAATTGAAGGAAGCTGCTACTTGCTTTGAATATGGCGTGAATGAAGTTGAAAAAGATGATTATAATTTAATATTTAGATGTTACATTGTGGCGTGAATGTAGTTAAGAAATATTGTTAGAATTTTCATATCCCATGTTAACATTCTTTGAGAAAGATGATTATAATGAAGAAAATGACGTTGAAAAGTAGCCCAGATAGGTTTATACCATTAATATATATAAATCCATATTCCATTCTAAAGATCTTGAGCAAATAATTTTAGATCTATTTTGTGTATATGATGATTGGTTTCACTCTAGAGCTTAAAGTTTGTGTTTTTTATTTTTTGTGTTTCAGATTTTGTTTCCAAATTATTTCAGAGTCTAAAATTGTTGTTTGTAGATTTCTAAGAAAAAAATATGTTTGTGTTTTGAGATCTTAGGGAGGAGGGAGTCATTCCCTCCCAACCCATTAAACCCACTGCCACATCATTTTTGCTCTTTTATTTTTCTTCATCTTTCCCAACCCACAACACACGGAAACCCTATCTTTTTGAACCCACTCAATTAAAAAAATACAAAACAATCAAAAATAAAATCTTAATTAGCAATAGAGTTATCGACGGTACCACTCCCGCTTCAACGGGTTGGTTAATTGGTTTCACGAACCCACTTCATCATCTCTCTCTACTTTCTCTCTCTCATTTTCTTTTGTACCATGTGTTTTAAAACTTGTACCTTAGTTGTTTTGTATTTTATTTAATTGGGTGGGTTGAGTGGGTTGAGAAAGATAAGATTTCCGTGTGTTGTGGGTTTGGAAAGATGAAAAAAAATAAAAGAGAAAAAATGATGTGACAGTTGGTTCGGTGGGTTGGGAGGGAACGACTCCCCCCTCCCTTAATGGTTAAATCTGAAACTCATTGTACATTCGGGAAAAAAGTTGTAAATGAAAGATTATAGTTTTTTTTTCCGTAGGAAAAAAGCCAAAAAGGTTATGTTTTTGGACTATAAAAATAAATACATAAATTTTCTTTGAAGACTATAAAATACATAAGTTTGGATATATATGTTCAAGAATATCTAAATTGATCCTAAAGTAAATACTGTTAATAGACTATAAAGGTAGGTGGCGTGTCGACTGTAGATCATCAGATTATATATTCAATTCAAGAAAAAAAATCCATAGAGTAATCATATGTAGAGTAAACAAGTACAACCTATAGCAATATATTAAATGAAATGTGGTGTATTATTAAAAGAAAAGCAAATACAACCTATAGTATTATTAAAACGAAAGCGAATACAACTATTTATAGTAAAAATAGAGTATCTTTTATCTAAAAACCATTTTATTTAGGACGGTTTTAATAATTATATGAGCATTTATAATACTAAGGGGCTGTTTGGCAGCATCTGAATTTTTAATAGCTGAATTTTTAAGAGGTCTGAATTTCTAAGAGGGTCTGAATTTTTAAGATCTGAATTTTCAAATGTTGTTTGGTTGGAATCTCTGAAATGCAGTGCTGAATTATGAAAATGACCAATTTACCCTTATGTGTTGTTTTTTTGCTTAATTTAACGATTTTTTTTTTATAAAATAACCAAATCCATATTAAACATAAATAAAAATTAAACATAAATACAAATCAAACATAACACTATAATTTATTGATTATACCCAAAGCAACACATATGATTTCACCAACAACATTATCACATTTCAAAGATCAACAACAAATTTCAACA